CTCATGTGGCTGAGACAGCTCTTAAGTCATTAGCCAGGCATGTTCAGGGCACAGAAACCTTCACAATAATTGAAGAGACTCTGAGAATGATGTGCAAGGTATCAAATATTTGATTGTTTTTTCTCTTAAATGGAAAATGAAAACAAACTCTATCACATCTTATTGCTATGGGACTGCAGGAGGCTTTGTCTCACTGACATGCCGTTGTTTTTGTGTAATTAGCAAATACTTATAAATTTTATGAGAGATTTTTTTGGAGGAAAACTAAGATCATGTGCTAATTTTTGCTATTTGCCCTGATGTTTCTTTAATCCTTTTCAGGTGATTGCAGTCAATCCTGTTGGTTTAATGTGTAATTGCTATGGATCTCATGTTCTTCGAAATCTTCTTTGTCTTTGTAAAGGAGTACCACTGAACTCCTCAGAGTTTCATGGAGCAAAGGCATCAAAAATTCTAGCAAAGCGGTTAAATTTCAAAGCAACTCAATTGGATGGGAATGATTCCCTGCATCTTCAGCAAGGGTTTCCAAATTTATTAAAATTCCTTGTATCAGGGATCGTAAACTGTACAAGAGGAGACATTAAGACCCTACAAGTTGATCAGTATAGCAGTTTGGTTCTGCAGGCATGTCTTCGTTTGATCCTGTTATTTTATCTTATTCTCATTTCTAAACATTTTAGTGTCAGATAAGCAAAAGCAATCTGTATATATGGATTTTGTTGCCTTATGGCTTTTGGCATTCTCGACTAGCATAGTTAGACAAGTATTAAGATATTCCATCTATCGTAGGACCATGCAACCATATGTTGAGTTGTCAAAGATGATAACTAATCCCCTGAAACCTTCCATGTTCTTGAAATTCACTCATCAGTGTTAATTTCTTTATTTAAACTTCATTATTTGAAGTCTGCATCATACAGAATTCTCATTTTTGAAATATTTTCTCTATTAGCATGTCTAGTTCTTATCATTGTGTTTGTAGACTCTATCAAACACTCTCTATAACATATGCCTTTAATTTATTTCTTTTATGGGGAGGGGGAGTGTGGTAATTTAGGGGAGGGATGGATGGGTGTTTATGACCTTTTGATGAGTTTTCAAGTTCTTAACCTTGTCCTAGTGGGCTTTTTCTCCTTTTTGAAATGAGGCTTTAACGTTATGAATCAAATGTAATACTGAACTATGCTGAACTTTTTAGCACTTGTCACTTGGCATTTGGCAGACAGCTTTGAAGTTATTAGCCGGGGATGATCAAGAATTACTGCAAATAATTCCAGTTCTTCTTGGCAGCAACAAGCAAATTTGGGGGAAGGAAATTTCATTGACATGACCAGTGCTGGTGAAACCTTAGAATCAATGAAAGAAACCGCATTTAGCCATTTAATGGAAGTAAGCAACTTATTAATAGGATTACACTTATTTATGTATTTTATTGCTTTACATGATGATATGGCTTTCTTTTTCTGCATTCTTTGCCTTGTTCTTTTCTCTATATGCATGAAGTGTTCATCCATTTGGAATTGTATCAATTTCATAAAAAGCTATTTGGAAGACATCTATGTGATTAGCTTCTGAAGGATATGAATCCGAATAACAGTGTCAAGTTAAATACATTGCTTAGTTGGCTTTAAGGAAATAAACTTAAAATTTTGCACCTAATTTCCTTAATAGCCTAGTAATCATATTATTCATGAATATCTTAATGTCATTCTTATTTCTTGTCCTGTTTCTTGTTATCAATTACTACTGAATGGATATGTCTTCTCTTGATAATCATCATGTTACAGGTCAGCTCTACTAGTTGAAACCCATCTGGACACTGTTCTGCAGGAGTGAACTTTTCCTTTTTTTATAGTTGAATCCCTTGAAAAGGGACAAAAGTGGGCTGGGAAATGAAATCTTTTCCTCATTCCCGATGTAATAATTTCACCATAAGATTCAAAACTGCTGTTGTGCATTGTCTATTCTCTAAACATTCTTGTGCATTTGCGTAACTGGATAAAAGACAACCCGTTAAAGTATAGTTGATTTGTCCACATCCTCATTTCGTTTATATGCTGCAGTTAAATCATCTACTATTTGCTTTCTGCTCTTATTTTTTTGTTTATTCTACAGTATTGCTTCATTTTCTGCAAATTGCAGGTAATTCTGGAGGTTGCACCTGAAAGCCTGTATAATGAGATGTTCACAAAGCTTTTCAAGAATTCATTGTTTGTGCTTTCATCCCATCATTGTGGAAACTTTGTTGTTCAAGCGTTAATTTCTCATGCAAGAACAAAAGATCAAGTATGTATTTTCACATTCTACTATGAATAGAAGCTTGTACTTCTTTATATGCTTTACAAAATTCTAAGCTAATGCTTATCTCCTGAAATGAGTGGATTTACTGCAATGGATACCAGTATTCCAATGGTGAAATTCCATTATCAACGTTTATTTACTCCTTATTCTTTTATCATCTTTGGCTGCTGTTGAAATCTTCAGTCTGAAAGCTATTTCTATTGCTGGATGTCCTGCTTAGTTCTACTGATCTCAGATTTGCTAAAACCTTCTCATTTTGTCTATTAGATCGAGTTAATCTGGGAAGAGCTTGGATTGAAATTTGGGGATCTTCTTGGAATGGGGAGGTCAGGAGTTATTGCTTCTCTTATTGCTTCGTGTCAAAGGCTTCAAACTCATGAATATAAGGTTTAGTAGTTCAATATCATTCCTTTATTAGCTATTTAATTAGTCTGAAACAGCTTGGCAATTACATCATACTGAAAATTTCTCTTTGATGTACATACAAACTTTGTTCTAACCATCAATGAATTTTCATTCTTTTTTTTCAGTGTTGTCAGGCACTTGCTGCCACAGTTGGTTCAAAAAATGAGACTTCAAAGTTTCTTGTCCCTAGGATACTGTTTCTTGACAGTTACTTCAGCTGTGAAGACAGGTCTAGTTGGAACTGGGCTGGTGGAGTTAAGATGCAAGTCATGGGTTCTTTGATCCTGCAGGCTATTTTTAAATTCCAAAGTGTATGTTGCCCTTCTTGAATAGCTTATGTCACTCTGATTTTTTCCAACTAGATTATTCGCATAGGATATATCATGCATTATCTGTAAGTTGTCGCCCACTTCTATTTGCGTAAACTAAACCTGAGCAAATGTCTTTGAGTGCATGTGCACTCGCATTGAACTTTTCATCATCAGTAATATTATGAGCTTCACACTTCTGATTAAGATGTGTATATAGTAATAGTTCTCATCATCACATGGAACTAGTGTGATGTCGGCTTGACTATCTAGAACAAAAGTGTTAATTGCTGGCTTTCTAACTTTACTGTGCAATATATTGCCTTTTTGGTTATAGGAGTGGATACAGCCTTATGTTTTGAGTATTACATCCATGGAAGCTGAGCATGTCCTTGAGGCAGCTAAAGATGCTGGAGGAGCGCGTGTCATTGAAGCATTTCTGGCTTCAGATGCTTCCATGAAACAGAAGCGCAGATTAGTTGTGAAGTATGTCAAGCTGCTGCTTCGGCAGTGTTATGTGTTACAGGAAGTTCTTCTCTATGTTTTGTTCATTTAGTCCATTGATAAAATGTGATACCAATGGAACTTGTCTGCACAAAAAGAATGGGCTTTGTTTTCTTATGAGAACTTTTTGGTCTGGCCTTATGCTATATGGAATAATATCCGCTACTCCTTTCCTGAGGATTCCATATCTAGCTATTATTTTTATGCATGGTTAAAACTTTATTATTCCATTGCTGCTATTCGCTTCATATTGTTTGTTTGCTGTTAATTATGAAGGTTATGTGGACATTTTGGGGAGCTTGCTATGCACCCATCCGGTTCATTTACCGTTGAAAGTTGCTTCAATGCTGGTAGCCTGTCACTAAGGGAAGCCATAGCATCTGAATTGTTAGCTGTACACACTGTACTCTCCAAGACAAAACAAGGCCCTCATCTCCTTAGGAAATTAGATATTGATAGGTGAGTAAATTGCTGTATGCTGTTTGGCAGGCTGAGATTATTTCTTGTGTTACCTCACAGCTTACAATGCAACACCTTTTACTTTTGATAGGAAAAATAAGCTCAAATTTCAGTTGCTTGTATCTTGTTTTGATTTGTTTACTTGGCAAATATGGTGTCTTAGGTTAGATTCATCTGTGTCACATATTAGTTGCTCACATGGTAAAATGTTATCTCATCTAAGCTACATTCTTAAAGAAATGTTGCAGTTTGTTTTATGTTTTTATCATATCTTTCCTCACCTTTGCTTTATCATGACAGATATGCTACCAAACCTGATCAGTGGAGGTTAAGACAAGCATCAAAACAATCAGCTTACAACGAATTCTATGTTGCATTTGGCACTACTGAATCCAAATCACCAACAATGAACAAATTCCTTTCTGATGCTTCTATGGACATATCAGAGCCCGAAGAATTGAACACAAGGAAAGAGATAGATGGTTCTCTCACTTCCAATTCCATGCTTGATGATACCTTGATGGAGAACAAAAAGAAAAGGAAGAAGAGAAAAAGAGATGTGGGATCTGAAGATGGAGTTGGCTCTAAGAAGGTGATTGAAAATGCGGTAAAAAATTTTCTCTCTTCTGGTACACTAGATAAGAAGCGAAGGGGAGCTTCAAAACATAAACTGAAAATTTGAAGTTATGGATACTCTGCGTTTTGCTGATATTTTACGATAGCTGAGTTTAGCTGCATCATGTTACAACCTACGACTGGAGAAAGTTATTTTGTTTGTTTTTACAATCTTCCATTCTCAGATAAATTTTGGGTGTGCCAAGTATTTTGGTTGGACCTTCCTGGAAAAGTCGGAGCACTTTGTATCCAATATTATACCAAAAATTTTGCAGATTAGCAGTGTAAATTGACAGAGTGGTAGCAAAACTGCTAATGCATTATGTGATTCAATACATGTTGCTCCTAAGCTATTGCTCTACGTTAGTAGACACTGTAACAAGAAATTCTCTAAATAGAAAAAAAAATTTAATGTCTGAGAGATCTTGGTATCCGATTTCTTCTACTTCTTTCTCCTTCTAATGGAGGGCTGGACCTGGTGCAAAAAACATCGTATCTAAATCAACTACAAGAAAGCTGTAATTGGCAGAAAGGCATGAACCGTTGATGTGAATGGGAGAATTTACTTGTTCTGTATAGGATTTGAAGTGCTTGGAGGTATTCTTCGAACGCTTGTGTCGACCTGCTTCTGGGGAATTTTCTTGTTAGCTTGCAAATCTCCAAGAGCTTGCGAAGATGAACCCTTGGTCGGCACTGATGAAGAATGAGCCTGCGGAATGGATCGAGCTTCTGCTTGAGCTTTATCAACCGAAGTCGATAGAAGTACTGAAAGTAGAAGAGTAAGAACTGTAAGCGCCAGAGTGTGTGCATTCATGGCTGTGCTGCTAACTGTTTAAGAGTTTTTGTTGCCTAATGAGTGAAAATGATTGAGACAGGATTGTTTGATTTTGGGTTACTCCCCAAACTTGCTACTACTTATAAACTTGTAAAAAATTTAATTTGGGATCTGCGCTTCAAGTGAGATCATGTGCTCTACTTTGACTGTTGCATGATGCAACTCTGACCTGCCGATTCGGTAAACAGTGATTTATTTTCAGAAGGGTCATGTGATTAGGCACGTGAATTTTACTAATTTTTCTCGGGGAACTAAAAGTGATTGGTTTGATCTTTTTAATGTTGGATCTCTGTAGTTATTCAAGTTCAAAAAATACAGGTAACAGCTGTTCGTAGGAAATGCAAAATCTGATGAACTGATTCTAGCAGCTCTAGTTTCTCTTCTAGTCAAACTGATCAGACCTTGGTACTTGAGAGGGGTTGTAATTTCATTATATCAGATATCATTTTTTTAAGAGTGATTTATCATATGAATAAACTGAATTAAGGTTTAATTTCATAACTCGTTTTATATCCCAAAATCAAGAAATTGTTTTTGTCATTGGACCCATAAAACAATTCAATTTAAATGCAAATTGAGTGTATTGTTCACTTGTCTCATAAAACAATTCCAGTTATGTTTTTCTTATTTAGTAAAAACTTGTTAGTGGCTAATGACAACCGACTATACTTTAATTGGTCTTTTGCTTAAGGATATTGTCGAGGTGGAGGATAAGATTTCCTCAAGACTCTTTTTTATAATGCTATGGCTTTGTTGACCATATGCTTTGTTCGGAAATTTCTATAAATATCTCACAGAAACAACCGCTTAAATTATTTTACTCCTATTTTTACACCTATCAGATTTGAGTATGGAAACCAAAAGCGTGCTTATACACCCTTGAAAATGGGTTGCAATTCCTTGGATTCCTTGACGTTGAATTTTGTTTCAAACCCTTCTCAGACCGTTGTTTTTGCCTTGCTCAACAAGCAGGCTGTTGGATTGAACGACCTAAATTTCAAGACTAAGATAGCAAAAACAATGGCCTAGAATTTAGGGAGCCTTTCTTTTATGTTTTTTAATTAAAAAATGCTATAATTTAATATAACAAATATTTATATTAAATTTATTGGATGTCTTATTTTAAAAATAATTTGAAAAAAATTTTGATGCAATAATAAATTTATTGTTATTTGACTTGAAGGATTTAAATTCAAATCGTAAAATAATTTCATATAAAATATAAAATAAATTTGTTTATATTAGATCTAATGAGTCGAAAATTTTTTAATTTGGACATAATGAAAGTTTTACACATCAAATTATGCTTTTATATTTTAAAATTATTATATAAATTCATTAAATTAAAATTTGAATTCACTTACTCTAAATTTTTTTTTAAAAAAAGACAAAGCAATTTAAAAGCACATTAATTGCTCTTGATCTAACAATTTCCTTTTAGAATTAAGTTTCCATTCTTTTAGATTTTCCCACTTGAGTTTTAACTTAATAAGGAAGAATAATAAATATACATCTCTAATAGAGTTAATGGCAAAATAGTGAAAAGCATATATCATGAATTTGAGTTAGCAAATATGAATATTTTCAATGATCTTAAAAAATAATTTTTTTAAGAGGTGATTGAGAATTATTCTTAGACTTCTTTGGTAGTGTTATTTTCATTTTTGTTTATCTCAAAACTTGCTTTTTAAATATTAAAAACATATAAGAAAAATAAAATCATTGGCGATAAAATGAATAAAAAGTAAAAAAAAAAAAAATTGGTAAACTTTAAAATATTAGTTGTATTTAAAAATAAGTCATTAATTTTTTTCGTTAAAAAAAAAGTCATAGTTTTAACATCCACGAATGTGAGTACATATTTTATCATCCTTGCTAAAAAAGAAACATATAACTGCATTACCAAATTGCCCATTGATTATTTCAGCACATTAGCGAAAAAATGCATTTAAGAAGGCTGATAATGTCTTTTCACAAAAATGAAATGCAAAATCCTCCCATCAGTCAATCGCGAACTCCGCTCGAGAGGAAAACTGGAAAAGGACGTGGCAGGATTAGGAGGAGGAGTAATGGTAGTACGCTACAGTACTACAGTATAATGCAAAGCCAATCACAAGCGTCAAAATAACCTTCTTCTCTCCAATCTCTCCGTCCCTCTCTTTCGCCTTTTCTTTTCTATTTCTAATAATTCTAATTTCAGCTTCTATTATCGTTTGTATCATAAAACAACCGCCTCGATCCCAGGTAATTATCTCCAGGAAACAACTTTCTCTTTAATTTCTTTTTTTTTTTCGATTTTGGAATCATTTATTTGAACTTTTTGTTTGTTGATTTTCAGTATTGTAAGATTGATCTTCGATTTGAATTTATTTTCAATTGGTAGATCCTAGTTTGGACTTTGACTGTAAATTTAGTATAATTGAACATCAAAATTAATTATTGAATCAATTTCTTTGTTAATTAATTTGTAATGATTTTGGTAATTCCAATTCCTAGGTCGTACTATTTATAAGAAGAAATTTATAATTGGAACCTAAGTTAAAATTTTACGTTGTTTAAATTCGGTTATAATCTTTATTTTATTATCATGCTGTTAATTAAAGTAATTTTAAAAAATGTGTGTTGCTTTTGTTGAGTTATTCTCATTATTCTTGATTCCGAGCTGTTCGAATTCATTTACGGAGTTTTGAGGTCTTGATTTCTCAATAATTTCATTAGCTCATCATTCTTTTAATCTGCTGATTTGCCTGCTTATATGCATCTTTAGGTAGAGGGTTTTAGGCAAAGGCTTGTGGAGTCCATTGTATAGTCTTCCATCTGACTATTTGTTCTTATTTTATTCTATTTTGTGTCAGTGAATAATTGTAATTTAAAAGTTGAAGGAACAAAACAGCGGGTGGGGGTTTTATTTTGTTGTGGCCGAGACAGCTTTTGGGGTTTGAAGAATGGCAGAGAAATCATGTGTTAAGCGCCTTCAGAAAGAATATAGAGCACTTTGTAAGGTATAGTTTTCTTCTTGTATTTCCTGCAATTTCTTTTTTTGTTACTTGTGCATTTTATATGAATTGCTGAACCCTGGAAATGTTTAGCTGTTGTAGAAATCTCGTTAATGTTATCTAGTTAACCTTTCATTTCAGTTCAATTTCTGGTATTTATGTTGTCTGTGTGATTATAAGCTCTTCTTTTGATACAAGGAAAATCTTATGCCGCTAATACCTTGTGTATGAAGCTTGTTACTACAGAGCTTGCATCAATAGTAGAATGACTGAGAATTTTGTGTCATATGATATGATATAGTAGATTATTGTATGTTTATTGGTTTATTAATCTGTAATTCAGCATTATGTTTAACTTCCATTGACAAATAAAAACAATTGTACTTCTTTTCACTTCCTTCACTAATAAATTGGATATTATTAGAAAATATATTGATGCTAGAATGAAAAGTTGTTGGCATTATTGTACTTTAATTCTATTTTCTTCTCAGATAATTTTAACAGTTATTCTATGAACTTGTAGGAACCAGTTTCTCATGTTGTTGCTCGTCCATCCCCAAATGATATTCTTGATTGGCGTAAGTGTATTAAATCATTTTTGTCTCCTTTTTTTTAAGATAAGGCTCTCTAATACTCATGTAAAAACATCTTCTATAATAACCAAGGATATGCCTGCTATCCTAAGATTTTATCCTTATAAAAGCCGGAAAATGATTGTTTTCATTTGTCCAATGCTGTTGAACAGTGATTCACGAAGGTATTAACAGGATGTTGGTTAATAATGTATAGGGATGTCAGTCGAGATGCAAGTGTATAATCCTTCATGCTTGCAAAGTACTGGACTGTAAATTTGTGATTGAGCATGCAAAAGGCACCTGTTCATTTAGCAGACTTATGGAATAATTGTACAAGGAACAAGAGTTCAATCTCTATTGTGTTACTATTAAAATTTCATGATATTGCCTTGATGGAATTTGAAGTTGATCTTAAATTGGTTAATTAATTTTTTTTCTGTTGCAAGTAATGGTGAGTTTTGATATTATAATGACCAGGACATGGCAAATTATTCTTCTACTCATGCTGTTGCATGATAAAATTGGCTTGTTTCCTGGATATTATTCTTGTTTGGCTTGTAATCCAAAGTCTTCTCTAGTCTTTGCGCATTGAATGCTGCAACACTGGGTTGATTATGACTGAATTAATATGAGTTTCTTGTCTATGTCATATTACTGATGTAGTAGGTTTTATGGACATCTATTTAATTTTTCTGCTTCCTTTTTCAGATTACGTTCTGGAAGGGAGTGAAGGAACACCTTTTGCAGGTTGGTTAGTTTGCCCCATAATAGTCTGTGGTTAATTTTGTCTGGCTCATTTTAAACTCTGGAAGAAGCTATCTGATTTTGCAATCTTATTATTTATGTTTTTTCAATTTGGTTTGCTAAGGTGGGTATTACTATGGAAAGATCAAGTTCCCTCCAGAGTATCCCTACAAACCTCCTGGAATCACGTATGCATCTTTCTTACTGTTTTGACCTTGTCAAAATTTATGATAGAAAACACAAAGCTCTTTCTAACATCAAACTGCATTTTTCTTTCATGTAGCATGATCACCCCCAATGGACGTTTTATGACACAGAAGAAAATATGCTTGTCCATGAGTGATTGTAAGTTTTTTGATGAATACTTTAGAGATTCTTGTTTTATCTATATCTCTAATAACCGATTTCATTTTAACCTTGGTCATGTTCTTTTTCAGTTCATCCAGAAAGTTGGAACCCTATGTGGTCTGTATCAAGGTACAAGGGTTTTAGTTTAATTGCGAGTTTTTTTTTGTTGCACCATAATTTTCAAACACCTGTACCTCTCACAGGGTGCTGTTGACTTGTGAAACAATTGCCAAAGATTTTAGTTGCCTTTAGCCCATTGAGCTAATTTTTTTTGTTTAATCATGCAGCATACTCACAGGTCTTCTTTCTTTCATGGTGAGACTCGATGTCTTTCTTGTATCTTAATTCATTTAGACTGCAGTTTTGTTAGGTTGTGGATACTTTTTCCTTTCATTGGGAATATGCCCTTATGCCAAGCTGCTTTTTTCTTGTGCAGATGGATAATAGTCCTACTACTGGCAGTGTGAACACTACTGCTACTGAGAAGCAACGCCTGGCAAAGACATCCCTTGCTTTTAATTGTAAAAAGTAAGTCTATTGCTTCACCTGCAGTGGATTTTTTTTTTTTTTTTCATTTTTCTGTTTTTGAGAATCTAATGCTCTCCAAATTAGTTTCTCTGATTTTCTGCCACTATGATTATGCTTTCACTCATGTTAATTGTGGTCTTTTTGAAGCTAAATTTATTGGTGTTGGCTGGATTCTACATCATTATTAGCTACCAGATAAACTTTGCACGATTACACAGGATGTTAACAGTGTTAAGTTGCTTGAGTAGTTTGCTTCTAGCTAAAACCTCAGCACATTTTCCTTTGTACCTCCCCTTTTTTCTTTTCAATATTTTTTAAACAGTGCGTGAGTTACTATCAGGAAAATATTGCCTTAGTCCGATTTATTTTCTAAACTATTCGTGGGCATTCCTTTCCAAATCGAGAATTACATCACAAGTCTTTCTATGACAGCCCAACATTCAGAAAATTGTTTCCGGAGTATGTAGATAAGTACAACAAGCAGCAGCAGCTTGTGTCAGAGAATTTATCACCAGAATCACCTCAAGATTCTAAACCTGAGATGAAAAAACTTGTTGACTCTTCAGGGGAAGATGTTAAAATAGCAGGTACCCTGAGGGATACAAGAAGAAACGGAAAACAGTCATTCCCAACGTGGATGATGCTGTTGCTAGTTTCCATCTTTGGTATTGTAATGGCATTGCCGCTGCTTCAACTTTGATAGCTGGGGCACAACATGAACAAAATTTGTAGTGGTTAGTGAGTATACAGTCTCTAGTTGAGGGAATCGTTTTCAATGCTCCTTAGGTTTGTCGTGTACTAGAAAGAATGTTTGGGGGGTTTGATTCCAAGGAGGGTCAGTTGGATCCTAACTGATGTTTCTCCTATGTTGATGTTGGTAATTTACCATTGACTTTGAAACATTACATGCATATGATGTTGATTGTATTTTAGTTGGAGCCTGTTGGTCGATTTGGTTTTATACTTTTTCTGCCTATCTCTAATGCATTCCTATGGCCAAGGTCGTACACTACTGGAAATCGAGATTCATGCACTGAAAATACATAAGATTTTGGCTTAGCTGTGGAAATTGTTTCATTGTTGGACACGAGGCCAACCAATGAACCAACTTTGCGAGCGAGGACGTATTCAAAGAAGCCATAAGCTTTTCTGAATGCTGATTTGGGCTGTATTCAGGAAATTATATAATGGTAGGGTCAGTCTTTACTCTCTTTTTCTTTTCCTTTATTCGGTCTTCTTTTTGAATCCCAAAACCACCATTTCGTTGTTGCTGTAATACGGATGAATTAACCTTTTATCCTCTCTATAGTCTGATGCTAGGACGCCATGTTGCAACACATTAAAAATTAGTGGTTAATCCAGTTTTTAATCATAGCATGGGCAATTTTTTCTGGTCACAAAGCTTAAGGTGCAATAAATCTAAAATTTAACTCGTTTCATATAATCATTATAAGAAAATTTAATTTCGTTAGTTCATATGATCAAAATTTGTAACTCGTTTTCTTTATATTCAAAGTGCAGCAGTTTTTGTGAAAAAAAAAAAAAAGTAAAAAGTATAACACCTGCTCCCTAGTTTCGGTGCAACTTGTCTGTGTGGTTGGGCATTTCCCTCCAAAACATGGTAAAGAAGACAACCTTGGAATCCCCCCAAAAAATACGCCGCAAATTATGCATAAATTCCTCTAATCCCATGACAGAACAAAATATCCTTTTTGTTCCTCTTAGTCTTATAATAATTACTAATTGTTGTTTATAGCTCGGTAACAAATAATTGGCTACAACTAAGCTACATTTTTTTTTTCTGTAAAGAATGGCAGCAGCTATTTTCTCCCGACTTTCAGTTTACATGTTCTCTTTTCTACATACAAAGACTTGCTCCTTGTTGTGGCCTGCTTTTTGCATTACAGGATTCTTAATTTTTGGCCAAATTGATGAGTGTAACTTCAAACAAGTGGCCACTCTTGGGGTCTCATGTTTTGGTTCGGTAAATAAATAAGCACTGTAACAGTCAAAGCTGCTTCAGCTGCAATCAAATGTAAATATCTCTGTCAAAACTTACCTCTATTTACGGGAAAACACTTTACCCTAGCCTTGATGAGTACGTTAAGACATAATGATTTTATTCCTTTACATTTTATCTGTTGCTTCTTTGGTTAAAAAGTTGGTTAGCTGGATACATATCTGCTGATTTTGCAGCATCACTTTTGGTATTCCTTAACAGATTAGAAAATTTTAATACAAGGGGTGAATTCACCGGGCTATCTACCCCACTGCTGTACTTTACATAGCAAGCGTATGAAAAAGCTTCTGCCATTTCAACTACCCAAAACTTTTTCAATTTCTATAAATTTCCAGTTTAGGGGTTTGATGTGGTTTTCAGTTTGGTGGTTGGCCCCTTGCTTTTGATGAAATCATTCGAGTGGTTGGAATTTAAAACACCATTGCCTTCTCTCAACTGAAGGTATACAATACAACTCTTTAATTTCATTTCATCTTCTGTCTATTCATATCACCAATTGTATTGTATTTAGTATCTTAGTTACCGTTTTGTAAACCAGCTAGCACCTGCCATAGTTTATCAAATTAAAAAGCAGGTTTGAGATGATCTAAATGAGTTTATAGTGGTTTTTTTTTTTTCTAATTTAATAGTTTCATTTTGTTATTTCTGCTAATTTGATCTTGGCTTACTAACTGGACTTTGTAACATCTAAGAAACCATGAGCAAATCTCCAGAACATCCAAAATATGAGACAAGTGATTATGCTTGCTATGAATTTGATCCTCAGGTGAACTTTTCACAGGTAAAATGCAAAGCCTTCTTTGTTTTTGGTTCTCTCCCATTTTCATTTTATGACTTTCTTCCAAGGATTTTATAATGTCAAAACTACCCTGATTTTGACAGAAAAAGAATATCTCATTTCTTAGTAAAGAACAAACAAAAAATTTGTGAAACAAATGTGCTATGACTTTGATGCTTCAGAATCGGAACTCCTATAAGGATTTGGATATGTTTTCTGCCAATAGAAGTTTGCATATGTATTGTGGTATATGTTAATTCATATGGTTTTGGCTTTGACCCCTTTGATCAGTTTCTAGAAGAAGCAAGACAACATGCAAGAGACATAAACTTCCAGCGGTCATCCTCATGTTCAGAGGAAGCCGGAAAGAAAAGACTGGAAGGCGAGAAAAAGAACAAGAAATCATGGAAAAATTCTCTCTTCTCATGGTGGAAAACTGACAGAAAGAGCAAACCTAGTTCGGATCCTGTCGATGTTCCTAATATTTCCAAGCCAACCAAAGGTTATTGTTCTGGTCCACTGTGTGGAACTGCCAGGGGAATCGATACACCGCGCCGGCGTCCATCATCAGGGCCAGTCTCCATCCTCTTCAACCCCAAAAGGAAAGTGGAAAATGAGGTACCTTACATGTGTCTTGACCAGCCTAACGATCCTTATCAAATCAACGCCTATGGACCTGTCTATTTGGTGACATAGTATATCAATGACAGAGGACTTGACATGGGGCTTCTGCATTACTTTAGCCAAGAAAATGTTGTCCCAACTCCCACCAGGCAAAACTGGGGAACTTTGTGACACAAACTATAAAGTAATATATTTAATGAGGTGAGTAACTAGATATATCAATAATCTGAATCTCAGTTCTGACGGATACATGGTGGGGCACTTGACAGAGGGGGCTTGTAATTAGAAGCAGCTCTTCCCAGTTAATTTGAGTGACAAGAGATCCAAGTTGTAAAAGTGATCCATGTAGTCATTGAATTTCAATTCTCATTTCTGGTTTCCCCAGTTTTCTAATCTGCTTCTCGTGTTTGTCTGTCTTAAAGTCTCAATGATGGTTATACGTTTCTGTGTTTGATAATTAAGAACTTGCAGAAAGAATACAGATGCTCCGATTACACCATCCTGCACTGCACTGCGTAAGCCAGGAATTGAAATGAATTTAATTTTACATCTGATGCCTACCAGAAATTAATTTTACTAATTCTTGATGCGGCTAGGTCTGGGATCGCTCCCATAACGCAAAGAAAGCAGTCACGCCAGAAAGTCAAGCTTTCATTTCAAGCTGCCCTTATGTGGTACTATCTATTCATAAAACTATGAAAGTAATAATACTAAAAAAAAAAAGAAGGTTTCTTAATCCGAATACTGATTCTGTCACCACATGCCACTACATAATACCAAATAAAAAGAAAGAACAAGCTAAAAAACCAAGAAGGGTTCCCTGCTTGAGGATTCCCGAGCTATAACTCACTTTATAAACTTTACTTGTTTTGCCTTGTAGCAATTTCATAAAGCAATTACTAGGGCGAAGTGAGCTTGGTTTCTCACAGAAAGCACTATCAGTATCACTGTCACCGGGGTTCAGCTGCTTGGGAAGAGCATAATAGAGAACGCTACTCTCGAACCAATTTCATTTGTCAAACCCAGCCAGTAGCAACAATTCTCCTCAAACGGTCCCATTTTCTTGGTTAACATAAACCACAGTTACGTGTTAGGCTAACCGACGCAAATAACATCGTTTCAACTATTTTACTTGACGCTAGAGGAACCACAAGATGGAGTGAAGAACCACTTTCGAGACTCAACATGTATATGATTCTTGTTCAAATTAGAAAGGGAAATCTTTTTGTGTTGTCATAAATCAGAACAGCATCAAGAGATGTCTGTAAATGTCTACCAGAATGCGACATTAGACCCCCCCCCCCCTTTCTTCATTGAGTTTCTATTCTGGCTCTGAAACATTTTTCATGAAACCAAGCATTCGTTATATGCCCGTTTGTGACCTAAGCCAACAGTAGCAAATCTGAAATTTTCCCAATTACATTTTTGCATTAACTACATAGCCAAACACCCGATATCTAGGCCTGAGTTATTAATCATGTAAACCATATGCTAGTGCTCTAGACCTCTCAATTTCTTTCTTTCCTACAGCTGCATACCACAACTTGATTTGCAAAACATTGGGCAATGGATTTGGTCTTGAATAATGGTCAATTTAAAATACCAAAGATTCTTCAATGAGGACATTGGTTTAGACTTATCAGTGCCTAAAGAATTGTATATCCGTTAAAGGCCTAAACCCGTATATGTAGTTAATGCAAAAATGTAATTGGGAGTGAGTCACAATAATCTCAAAGTAAATGAATGCATCAACTCTAATGAAGTTTACAAACTAAACTTACTGAGTGATAGATATTCCTGCATTTTTTAAACTGTTGCAGTTCAATTCTATGCACATTTGAAAAATCTTACAGAACTAGTAACTTAATTTTAAGGCACATTAAGCAACAAAAAAGTTTGAGGGATTGGATTAATAGCTTTACAATGGATGAATCCAGATTGAAACAAATCTTCTGCTAAAGAAGAAATTGTTTTTCGATACATATTTGATATTTCGTAGGAGAAGACAGGTCCTCCAGCCTCTGTGATGCAAAGAAGCCCAAACTCTTCAAAGACATCACCCATTTCAAACATTTGTCAAAACCTTTTTCAGCAAAAGGATTACCAACATCTGCTACAAGAGACTCAATGCTTCAAAATGCCCAACTTATATTATTGAGCAAAATTTGTTGTTTCCCAGGAGAACCCACAATTCTCGAGGATGGTAAGAGTCCAATTTGATCATCTCCACTCCAACCATTACTGCTAGATAATGACAAATAGATATTCAGGAAAATCAGCTCCTAATATTCGACTGTGTACTTAAAAACCTCAAACATCAATAGAACTGCTTCCTGAACTACTAGGAGACATCCTTTTTTCTCTACTTAAAAGCCTTTTCAATGACCTCAATCTTGTAGGCATTGGAGACTTTGATTCTTCCTCCGGAAAATTCTCATTCACATTCACGGGAACATCAATCACCAACATCCCTTCTTGCCTACCACTACCAGATGCCAAGGAAGATGAAGCAGAAGCAGAAGCAGAAGCGGAAGCAGATACACCCTCGTCCAAACAGGCACCACCGCTACTAACCTGCGTGTGATTACCCCAAAACAACACATTTGTAGGAAAACTAGGAGAATCTGTCGAATACCCGGAAATCAAACCATCATTTGGAGACTGAACATGACCACCATTAACTTCATCTCCTGACATAACAGGATTTGAATTCCCAGACTCAACACCAACAACAGGATTTCTACAAAGAGGACAAGTAGAGTGTGATTGAAACCACATATCAATACAATCAACATGGAAACCATGATTGCATTTAGGAAGCATCCTAGCTTTTTCTCCTTCTACAAGCTCACACAAGCAAACCGCACATTCAAGTCCTTCTTTGAACTCTTCTTGACGAAACATTAACACAGGAAGGGAAGCAAGAATTGAAGAATCAAGACCTTTAGTTGCACGATGAGGATGAGCAGTGTCTTGTCCTGGAGCAAAGACAAATCGGCGTCGGTTGCGACGATAAGGAGGAGGAGTTGGTTCTTCAATGCGCCACCAAAACCATTTCGCATACAGATGGAGAAAAAGCACAAAAACCACCACTAAAAAGAGAACTATTATGGCTATGACCATGATCTTCCCTGTTATTGCCACTGCCGTTGAGTCATCAAACCCAGGCCTATCCATGGCTTGAAAAAGGACAACACTTTAAACTTTTCAGGAAATGAGAGTAGCTAGATGAGAATTTGAGTGAAATCCTGCAAAAAGATTTGATTTTTATATTTTAAATGAGCAAAGAAATAAGAGCTAACTACACAGAAACAGTCAAGAATTGCAGAACCAAAGTGTGATTTTGTTTCCTGGGGAAATGAGAGATACCCAGATGAGAATTGGAGTAAAATTTTGCAAAAACACTTGATCTCTATATTGTTATGTGCAAAGAAATGGGAGCTATCTCAATGAGAAAGAGTATAAAATTGCACAAATCAATTAGGATTTTGTTACCTGAGCAAATGAGGATACCCAGATGAGAAAATGTCAAAATTTCCTAAGCCAACTGGGATTTAACACATAAAGAAAGTAATCAAACAAATATAGAGAAAAGGAAGTAAATGAGGAAACCCCAGATGAGAAATGAGCTTATGTTCTGAAACCAAGATTTTTTTTTTCTTAACAATGGCAATGGAGAGAAATAAGGACGTTGGGTTATAAAGGGGGAAGGAAAATGTAGATACAAGTTAGAAGAGAATTCAAAGAAAGGATCCGAAAAAGAAAATGTCCACGTTGATGACTTTGATATTGAATGAATTAAAGGCAGAGATATTTTTTTAGACTTTGCTTTGAGATAGGTCAGGAGAGGGGGTTAAGCTGCGAGAAGTGAAGAAGATGACGCTTCTTGGGTCCAACTACACGACTCTTGTTATGGCCTTTAACATTATAGGCTGCGTATGGGACACTTGTATTCTACCATTTTTTTATTCGTTTTTTTTTTTTCTATTTCTGTATCCTGTCCTTATCAAGCTTTAATCCCATTTTAAAGAAATTTCTTGCCACTAAATGACAACCCTTGTTTCAAAGTTTCCAAATCCATGTTCTTTTTGTGGTGCTGCTGAACTGAAACGGTATATTTTTCTTTCAAAATTTTGACGTTTTAAAGGTGATCAACTACTCAACTAGTTTTTGGAATAATCAAAGACGAGGCGAAATTTAACCTCAATTACTGGATTTTGACACCTCTCACTTGAAAATTTTCCATTCTCTTTTTACTTGTCAATTTACTATCATTCCTTTCAACTTTGGTACTATAGTGTCAATTCCACACGCTAAAAGGTTCCGTCCTCAAGCCAGTTTCTGGGAAACAGCCTCTAGACCATGACTTGTTCTTTTTCTTTCCTTATTTCTTTTTTAGGTAATGAAATAACTAACCTTGCTTGCTTTCATCATCTCTTCACCATCTTACCTCACATTTCTCATTATTCAAATCTAATTAATGCTTACTTAAACTACAACTATAAGCATCCCAAAATTTGCTTAAAATTTTTTTTGAGCGATTTTCAAAAAGCATCATGTATTTTTTTCATTTAAATATGATACATTCAAAATTATTTTTTGCAAATCGAACTTTGATTGATTAAAAAATAAAATTTTATTCTTATTAATTGAATTAATCTTTATAGATAGAGTATAAATATATATTTTAGATTTAAAAAATAAAGCTTTACAATTATTTTTAAAAAAATTTCATCATTTTTAGACTTTGTTTAATCATATGTTGGGATATGTTATGTCCAAAAAGAATATATATTCAATATGAAAAATTGATTGTGAAGATCCTAATTTGTTAATAACACTTTCTTTTAATGAATAAAATGTAGGAAGTATGTAGAATCATATTCAATTTTATTAGAGCAATGGAGGATATAAAAAGTGAGGAAGACCCAATCTTCGTACACCAACCATTGAATTTTACAATGGGAAGCAAAAAAAAAAAGGGGGGGGGGGGGGGGAATAGCTTCTGTGGTTTTAAGCAAAGAAGGTCCACAAATTTTATAGGTAAAGCTATGGTAAGCATTTTTGTCTATGAACAAAGAAATTTTGACGGCATTGATCAGTAAAAGACTATGCAAATAGTTTTTTTATTAAATTTCACACACTTAATGTAATTAATTCGTAAATATAAATTTAAATAATATATATTTTAAAATTACTATTTATTTTGTAAAAAAAAATTCGCCCCAAAAAAAATAAAGAATCCTTCCCCTTCGAGATCACATTGCAACTTTTTTTTTTGGTCTTAAAAAAAGGATGATGGAACATTGGTGCTCCATCACTAACAAACTTAAAACCCCAACTTGAAGTTCAAGTCTTGACTCATTACTATGACCAGGATGATCCCCGCGGGTGGCGCATAGGTACTGCACAATGCATTGCGCGGAGACGCTCTTAATGCTCAACTGATCGTGTGGCTTAAGCATTTGAATCAGTCAAATACGGCAATACTAGTTTCGTCAGCGGTTAAAGCTAAATTAGCACCAAAATTATTGCACTTTGAACCCTGAATTTTGGGAGGATTTTGGGCGATAATACAGTTTAAAATTCAAAATCGTATTTGGTTCATGAATTTTAATTTTTTTTTAGTTAATTTTTTATGAAAGGGTTACAACCGTAATTTTTTTTAAAATCCGATTAAATGAAAATAACAAATATTGAGTTGAAGTAAATTTAAAAGTGACTGATACACGTAAATGTAAATAATAATTTTAACTAAATTATGAAAAAAAAAAAATTTTAAACTAATTGATCAGCTTCGTTGAAACTTGCTTTTGCAAGGTCATGGTATATAGGCTCATAGCCGACAAATTTTCACATGGGTTATGTAAATTAAGCAAAATCTTTTTAGTATTTTTTTTTAACACAAAGCTCAAGAGAACTAATCCTTTGATTCTTGATTATGTTGGTGCGAAAAAACCGCTGATTTGCACCCTCTTTTAAACATTGGAGTAAATGGAATCTGACTTCATTTTCTCGCGATGAAAGTGATCAAACTAAAATAGATTGAGTATTAAATAATTTATATTGCTATCAAATAAAACATTTACTTGAAAAAAATTATGACGTTTCTTATGAGGGGAAAAACATATATGGTTAATTTTTTTTTTTCCAATCATTATTGTTATTAAATTTGAGAATAGATATTGGCTTGCAGTTTCGATTCTTGATTCATCTTGTGTTGCATAATTGCATTCCCATTTTCCACCGTTTACTAATATATTATGCTATCAATGGAGTATGTTTATGTCAATTGTTTGCAACTATTTTTTGTCCCCATCACTAGAATTGTGCAATAATAACCAAAGCAATGATGTTGTCTTGGGTGATAAAATGTAAAACGAAATAAACAATTTTGACAAAATGGGACCTCAAAACGATCAAGCTCCAAAATCATTCGGTTTTTGAATTTTCATTCATTACTTACAAATCTTTTACATCACCAAACCCCAAACTACTATAATGTAAGCTTTTTGCATGCCATTTAACCGCTGTTCACATGATTTTGCCACAATTTTGGGCTTTAATCCTACATTTTACAATACTGAAAAAAAAAATTAAAGAAATAAGGATAGACAAAATGATGAACAGGGAATGATTTTTCGTCCTCATAATGGCCAATCGATGGCATCAAGTGGTAAACGTATACGTGGACGACTTGTCACCATTGATAACGATCTTTTTGGACTTTTGAGAAAGTTCATGGAAGAGCACCGGCCTAATTCTAATATTCCATAGGGATTCATTTTCCCTGAAATACTGTTTGGTATGGGTCACCCGAACATTACGGTTAAATGGTGCAGATGATTAGATCCTTGTATTCACTGCATTCGGTGATTCTGAATGATTGAAGATTATTTAAAGTTATTAGATCACTATTGTTTTGAAAAGTGAATTAATTTTTATTAAAAAAATAAAAAATTATTATAAAGAGAAAATGATAAATAAAATTAATTGAGTTTATATTATTAATTTATTATCAACATATAAATTTTATATAAATTAAATTATATCAATATATTAATGAGATGAATCATATTATATTACATTATTAATGATTGAGTGTTTTAAAATATTAAATTTTTATATAACTATTTTAAGGATTTATATGTATTAATTAATAAGATAATATCATTTAATTTGTTGATAATATATAAAAATATATATATTGACAGTATATCAAATATAAATTAAATTAATTATATTCAATATTATTTATTTAATATATGAATTAAAAATTTATTTTTATTATATATTTTTATGTTTTCAAATTAATATTTATGTACCAAATTTAAAAATAAATTATATGCTTTCTTTTTATTTTTAATACTATGTATAATATACATTTTTATTATGATTTTAATAGATTTAGTTTTATTTCCTAATTCAATTTTTTACATAATTTGTAATATAAAAATCAGTTTTCCATCAATAAATATGTTTATTATTTTAATAATTTAATTATAATTTATTGCGACGTGAATAAAATATTACTAATATTTTATAAATTATTATCTTTAAATAATATTAAAATTATTAATTTGTATAAGTATTATCATATGAATGATTATTTTGATATTTTTAAAGTAAATTTATATTTGATTTTTAATAGTATTAAACATAATAATTTTTAATTATTAAAAATTAATGATTAGTAATCAAATAAAATAATTTCAAATCATATGTGATAAAATTGTCCTAATAATAAAATCATCTTAATGATAGAATTATCATTATAATCTTAAAAATAATAAAAAAGATACTACCTGAAGAGAAATCAACCGCTCCACTTTACTTTACATCATATTTTAAAGGTTTGAAACCCAATATTTTAAAATCATGAACAAATTAAAGATCTTATGTTATGTGAACGTGTAATCGTTAGCTTATTAGTTTTGTTCAATTAAAAAGGTATAATAATAAAAGAGAATAAAAAAATTACTTAAATTCATTTGATAAAGATTGAAGTTCACTTTTCTTATCAAATTATATTCGAATTTCATAGGGAATACTTAAGGAATCAGATCCAACCTATTTGATCTAATCTTATTTAATCGAATATTTGACAAAATCTTGTTCAGTTTGATTTTTTTTTTTTTTTATGTGTTAGATCAGGTTTGATCTTTTCAACGCTATCATCAACAGCATGAGTATGTTTTATTTTTTAAATATACATTAATTATTAAATTAAATGCTTAATCTTATCGCAAAGAGTTCCAATAACAGGCCTCATATAATGTAAATAAAAATTATAGTAAGAATATTGTAATCTCGAAAATTACCGGATACAAAGCACAGAATCGCAGCCGATTTTTACTTATTTTTAATTGAAAAAAAAAAAGATTAAAGTTGAAAAGTCGAGTCTCTTGTCTTCTGTATATTCTGGAACCTTACAAAATAAAGGTGTGTTTCATATGAACCGTGTGCCCAACATCCCACTGACAAAGAAAAGACATGTTATAGCCCATTGAATTGGACTGGACTTGGGACGGTAGTTCATTTTAAAGTTGGGTTTTTCTTCCTACCAAATGGAGATTTTGCTGTTCTCTCACGCGTCATGTCATAAACCTTCGGCTTAGTTACAAGTGGATAAGCGTGTCCCAGACACGTCTGTTCACATAATTTAATTAAATCCACCTATCATTTCGTTAGGGCAAGCCCAGGGGCTCCCCACCCACCACGCAAGAAATCTACTCAATCCTTCTTCTTGGCCTTTTGGAGTTCGGGGCTTTAGGCAATTTTCAAGACAAAAAAAAGTATTATTAGTAATCTTAATACTTACTACTAGAACTTAATTTTACTTTAATTGTTTAACACTCCATTGAGCAATGCTGCAACTAGAAGCTCAGTAACATTTCCAGGTTTAAATATCATTTTTTTATAATTAAAATTATCAAAAATTAAATTTTAATAATTAAAATTAAAATTTTGATGTTTTATTAACAAATCACATGATATTTATTTTTATATCATTGAGACAAAAGAATTGGTGATTCAACTAGCCCGTAACTTTTTTTTTTTTTTCAGATAAATTACCAATTGATAAACTACCCTATCTCAGCCTTGTTGTAAACAAAAGCAAATGATGAATAAAAGAATATACACAGTGGTATTGCCCTCCTGTCTAAGAAGAACCCAGCAAATTAGAATGAATCATGGTTTGCAGGTTAGGCTGGGTAACTTCGATTAAATATAGCCAAAACTCTCACAAACTGCAGATGTAAGCTCCAGAGAAAGTGGGTTTTCAATCCATTTTCCGAGTCTTTCAGCAAAAGAAAGCAAGGAAGAAATGAGAAAGTTTCGGTGAGGGGCTACATTAAGCCTGCAAAGTGGGCAAGTTGGACGAATTTTGAGCCAGGCATCAATGCAATGGACATGAAAACTATGGTGACATATCGGTAATGACCGGAGTTTTTCCCCCTTGGAGACCTTGCTAAGGCAGACCACGCAATGAACTTCACATCTCCTTCCAACGTTTCCAAACCATTGCTTCAACCATTTGTTATAAACATGGAGGCAGCTGAAGACGAGGAAAGCCATGAAAACCAAGATTATCGGGAACATCTTCGCTGATCAATAGGTTGATGTAATTTGGAAAAATCTCTTATCTCTGCACAGCTTCAAATTCAAGCAACTTCGTTTTAATGGGTTTTTTTGGAGAAGAAAAAGAGAGTTTGGAGGAATTTATTTGGTCTGTTTTGAGTCAAATTTTATGATTCTATTGCTTGGACCGGTAAGCAAGGGCTGCTGTGCCATACGTGTCTAGTGGCAAGTGGCCAAAAAGTTTAGGAAACAGGCTGGAAAGGGTGGCTGAGTAGGAAAATTGTGACCGTACTCGTTCGTGGGGTTGACAAATTAAAACTTGTATGTTATCAGCCGTAGTTTGGATGTTAATTCAAAGATCAATTCTAACTATATGACCAAAGTATAATAAATGCTAAAACTTTATACTGAAAACGTGTATAATCTGATACCTAGCTGCCCATGATTTCCTCAAGCATGAAGGCATGAAATAATTATAATGGACCACTTCTGTTTATCATGAATATATATATATATATATATATATATGATGAGGGATTCATTTACATTAGTGTAATTTTTTTTTTTAATTTTTGGATCAAAATTTTTAAATTAAAAATATTATTTTAATTCAAATGAATAGTAAATTTAATTTTAATTTAAAAATATAAAATATAAAAATTATACTAATATAAATTGATTCTTATTATATTTATGTATCAATGTATGTGAATGGGAATGAAGGATTACAAAGATGAATAATTCATTTTAGAAACATGGAAATCAATGAAAACGTGCATAGAGTTTTGAATTTTATATTTGAAAGACATGTTAGGAAATTAAAAATACTCCTAAACTTATGTATGCCATCAAATTGTGACAATTTTGAATTTGTCCAATGGCTGAGTTTAATATGAAATAAAAATAGATTATCTAAATGTTAAGTCCAAATAAATAAGTCGATTAAAGAATACCCCTCACCTGTTAGGAGTGAAATTCTATTAGGATAAAGTCATTTTAGTTTTGTTCACGTATTAGTTAACGTGGATCGAGTTTTTTTTTTTTTTTTTTTTAAGTTAGACGAAGTGAAATTTTCTTTCATTCTTTATCAGAACTTGAAGTATATGCCAAAAAACAAATTTAAGCACATGATTTTATTCTACTGAAAAATTTCAGGATAAGTTAATGATTAACCTTATCTAATTTTTGTTCAAAAAGTAAAACTAACATTCAATCAGGATTTTTTATAGTACAAAAGAACAAGGTCATGAGGACATGATCTGGTGATTAACACGAACGTTTAGCTCAAGTTATTGATGCATGATGTTTTGCTTTAGCAGATTCGAATCTTCCATTTTTCCAAATAAAGAAAAAAAATGTCATAATGGCTGAAAACGTTGACTGTTTTTAATCTATCCATGGGCCATTCTGCCGTTTGACCCTAAACCAGGCCCTTTAACATGATTAATACGGGCTATCATAGCTGAAATAAGGGCTGAATCTGAACTCGTTATCCAAAACCCACGCCTGCAAATATCAGAATTCAAACAAGTAATCGCAGTATCTCTTCTCAACTCTGTGGCTCTCTCTGCTTCCCGTTTTTTTCTTTTCTGCATCTCAAATTTCTATAGCTCTATGAGCGACACTCACTTTCTCTTGCTCTTTACAATTATGTTATTTTGATATTATCAGCATTCTAAAAGAAGGAAAAGAACCCATCTTTTTTTTTTTGGTTATTGAAATGCTCTCGTCTCAATCGTGTTATTATGTTTTTGAGATAAGATTCTAAGTCCAGTGTTTGATTCTTTGGGCTGAATGAGCTCCCATGCCTTTACTAGGTAGACTTTTCTTTTTTGGGTTTCTCTTTGTTTCTATTGTTTTGCTTTGGTTCCAGAATTTTATTGTTTCTGAAAGCTTAAAGGAAGAAAAAATGTCAGATTTTTTTTTTTTGCCTTTGCAGTTGTCATATTTGGCTTCAATTTTTATTTGTTCAATTTGTCTTTTGGAATGCAAAAGTGGGTTATTTTATGGATTTTGTGTGGTTAGGGTGTTAAGAATTCTTCTTGTCATTATTTGTCCCTGCGTGGTTCTTTTCATCAGAACTCATTTCTGCTAATATACGAGTCCGTGTTTCATATTTGGTTTGTGATTTTTTCACTAGCTTCTACTGAAAATTAACTGTAAGCATCTTTATTGTGCTTGGCTGCCTGAACAGATATTGCCACTGCTCAACCTTCCTTACAAAGTCATCAGGTTCCAGTGAGGGTTCAAACCCTTGTTCATGGTCAAGTTTTATCAAATCCATGGAAATCCTCCCAACTCCCTAGAAGGGTAAATTTTCGTGTGGGGCACTTGGAGAGTCAAGGTGGAAAACTACAGATTAGAGCTGTTGCTACCCTTGAACCCAAGTGTTCAGTTCCAAAACAAGATGGACATAATAAGTCAGTGCCTGGTGGCGATTCAAGTCCTTCATCTGCTCAGATTGAATCTTTGAAGTCCGGAGATTCAGACGAGGAGCCGGATGAGAGAGAAAAGTTAAGACGGATGAGGATTTCTAAAGCAAACAAAGGAAACACACCATGGAACAAAGGCAGGAAGCACAGTGCGGGTAATTTTCATTAATTGACCTTGGTTCTACTAATCAGTATGTTTCTATTCTATTTGGTGCATTGTTGTTACCATGTTACCAGAACTGCATGTTTATTTTTCTCTGCAGAGACTCTTCAGCGGATAAGTGAAAGAACAAGGCTTGCAATGCAGAATCCTAAGGTGATGTCATGTAAGAATTTTTTATGTTTTCATGGGGATTGAACTTTGTATGTGTTTATGTTGGCATAGAATGAAATCAATCACATCAATAAATCTGTTTTCCAGCGCATAGGTTGATATCTAATGCATATTTGAATTGATTAGTTCATTCCTTAAATGGTCCACCCAATTCCTTTTGCCATAATAATCCCATTAGGGATGGATGATGGACTAATGGCCATTTGATTTGTTAGAAATCTTAGAAGGCCCCCTTCCGTCCTTTTGTTTTGTACATTCTATAATTGCAATCTTTCATTACAATTCATACTATGAATCTACACTTAAAAGAATTGGTATTGATATTGCATGAATCTAGAGATCCTTCTGTCCTTAAAAATATGAGATCTCCTCCACCTCCGTGGCATAAATTGGCTAGTTGCTTTAGTTTCTCATCTTTCTATAGCAGCTAATGTTTGAGTTGTCCGAAGAATTCTGATCTGTTGTTTGTTTAACCATGAGGATGTTTCTTTGTAATCACTTCATTTATTTATGTCTTATTTCTTGTAATATTTATTGATAAACCAAGTTGACATTTCATATATTTGGCAGTGACTTCTTTCCTTCATGGTTTCCTACCACAGTAATGAACCTTTTTCCATCTCTTTTGAGAATGAAGCATTTTAAATAACTTTTTATTAAAAAAAAAAGCGAGATAAATTAGTTGAAAGGGAAATTGATGACATTATTTTTCTAATACTGAGATTACCTTACAAGTTGAAAGAAAATTATTTTCTTCTTATTTAGTCACATTCAAATGGCATCCGAGGTGGGTACTTTATTTTCTTCATATTTACTCTAATGAAGATTTGGAAATGCAGGTCAAAATGAAGTTGGTTAACCATAAACATGCTCAGAGGTGGGTACTTTATTGTTAGTGTTTTAGTTTTATAATTTCTATCTTCCTTTATTAATTATAGCCACTTATAGTTATTCAGAGTTATTAGCTTCTTATTCATGTCCTAAATTAGCTTGTATTTGGGTTTTCAACTAATATATATCAAACTTTCTGAAAGGTATATATGTTTTTGTTTCTACCTCGTTGATGTATAAATTGACTCTCTTCATAATGATCCTACAGCATAGAGACAAGAGAAAAAATTGGAATTGGAGTGCGGATGGGATGGAAAAGGCGCCTTGAGAAGCTAATGGTGCAGGAAACTTGCCACTTTGAGTGGATGAACTTAATTGCTGAAGCTTCTAGAAAAGGCCATGTTGGTGAGGAAGAGCTGCGGTGGGATTCTTACAAGATACTAGATGAGCAGCTGACAAAGGAGTGGTTGGAAAGTGTCAAACAAAGGAACATGATGCCTAGACCAAAAAGTTGCAAGAGAGCACCAAAATCCCTTGAACAGAGAAGGAAAATTGCAGCATCCATTGCAGCCAAATGGGCTGATCCTGTAAGTGCTTGCATGATTTTTTTTTTTAGCTATGAAAATTATGACACTGATCATATAAAAATGATCTAACTTAGGCTACTGGTTGAGCATGAAGATGATCCAACTGAGGTTGAATTGAAGTGAGACTTCACAAATAAATAAATAAAAGGACAGAACAAGTGGAAAAATACTGATGCCATGAGAAAGAGGAAGGGGTATTAGCATATTAAGAAACCCGAATATGTTATTGGGCACCTCACTCTTGTCAGACCCAATTAAACTCTAGGTTTGAGTCCAGATCTAACTCATTTCTAGGTTTGAATTGCCCAACAGCCGAAGTACTTTTATTTATTTATTTTTCAAACTAGACACCCAAGTCTCAACCTTTTCAATATTGCTTGTCTGATTCAATATGAACCCCATTGTTTAGCTACCTTAATTCCCCTTACCACCATATAGGCATCCAAAGTTGACTGAACTGTTGTGGATTATGAGAATACCTAACAGGGGATATATTCCAACAGATGTCACTTTGTACTGATTTATTGCCAACAAGATATCCTTATAGCTTTGAACCTGAATGTGGGCTTTTCATTTCTTGTTATTTCCTGAATAGGAATACCGTGAGAGAGTTTACTTTGGCTTGGCAAAATACCATGGCATGCCAGATAGGGCTGAAAGAAAACCGAAGAGGAAACCAACAGCTGGTACACGGTCCAAGCAGAGCCCTTCAAAGAAGAAAGCTAGTGATTCGAACTATTCTTCTACTGGTGAGACTATAAGCCCAATTGAGCGGTTAGGGTTACGAAGAAGAAATAAACCACTCTATAAGGATCCTATGGCAAGTTCCAAGCTCGAGATGATAAAGAACATCAGAGCACAACGAGTGGCAGAAGAATCAAAGAAAACGGAAGCTGTTGAGCGAGCAAGGTTAGCTAATTGTTCTTTGTCTTTACTTATCTTCTTGAACCATGTAAGATGAATGGTAGCCATGCAGAAAGCAAGGGGGAGTTTGAATCCTGTCCAAACCTTCATAGATATCTTCCTTAATCACTTTTATGGATCATTCTCCTGCATTTTAGGTACCAATGAGAAAAAATAGGTTGATAATTCCCTCGATAACTCTATGCTTACTTGTATAACACTGCAGACTTTTAATTGCTGAAGCTGAGAAGGCTGCGAAAGCCCTTGAGGTTGCTGCAGTAAAGAGCCCTGTTGCTCGAGCTTCCCTCATTGAAACCAGAAGGCTTATAGCAGAAGCAATTCAATCAATTGAGTCAATAGGGAGAGGGCAGGTTACATCCGATGAGAATGGTGGATATAATTCTGTTGATTCAGCTGAACCAATTACGGTTAACCAGGTTGAGAAGAAAATGCAATCTGAAAACGGTAGTTTGAGCCAAGCAGACAAGAAGGAAGTAAATGGGAACCAAATCCTTTCATTAAGTAAGAATGAGGAGTTTAATTTCCCAAACTTTATGCTTCCAAGGATAGTGAACGGTGACAGCAATGAACTTACTTCTTCGAGCTTGAATAATTATAGTTTATCAACTCTCAACTTTGAAAGTTTGATTAAGAGGTCTGATTCATCTAAGCAACTCAACCAGTTGGAAACAAATGGGATTATCAAACATGAGGAGAATCCTATACCAAACGGAACCAAAGTTCAGCTGAAAGATGATTACATGCCTTCTAAAGCAGTTGCTATAACTAAGAAATGGATCCGTGGTAGGCTTGTTGAAGTCATTGAAGAAGCTTCATAAATATCATATACAAGACACAGATCTTCATCTGTGCTTCCTGAACATACTGAGCATATTCTGCGATGTTCTATGTGCAGGAGTCCAACCTTCATTAATCGGCTTGGGCACTGCCACTGACTCCCTATTATCAGCTATTTTTAACATTTGCAATTGGCAAAATCTTTTGTTATTTTTGTGGCACTTGAATCACAGATATATGTCAGTACTTTTCTCCAAAATCTAATATTAGATTGGTTCTTCTGTTAAAAGTGTATATTACTTTCTTCACTTTTTAGCTTTTTTGAACTGCTTTCATCTAGCCACGAGTGTTGTGAACTTGATTGGGTAGCCTGTAGGCAATAGCTTTTGGCAGAGGCGCTACATTAGTCTTGGTTTGGAGTTTTCATGGCAAATTATAAAGCTTTATATATATATATATATATAATTTGAAAGACTGTTTGTTATGCAGGCTTGATTACAGTGTTGCATTCACCAGGAAGAAAAGTCATTACAACTTCTAAGAAGAGGGTGATAAGAACTTTTTCCCAATTTCACTGTGGTAGTGTTTTTACCAAAACACAAAAAATTTATTTGGTAGCCCATGGTCCTGATTCTGGTTCCAGACCATCCTAGCACTGCCCGCAGCTCGCCTATTAAGTCACTAACCCCAAGCCTTCCCTCCATTAGGCATAAACAATAAAAATTTTCTTTAAGCTCAAGCTCAAGTTTTTCCTCCTACCATTTCTGCTTCTTAATTCTCCGCATTTCAGTTGCCCTTTGTCCACGTGTGTATAACAATTAAGCCACGTGCCATTATAGCTACGTGGCAATCTCTCATTCTATTTCTCACGTGGGTATATTACGACGTCGTCTCTTCGTTGGAAAAATATTAAATCGGGTTGGTGGATCCAATCCACCCGAGACAATGGTGGGCTGGTGCTGAGTCATTTTCTTCCACCGACCGTTTCTGCTTCTTTCACATTGACCTTCTTCCGTCCTCACGTCTTCACTCAAAATAAAAATTCTCTCTTTTCTGTTTTTTATATCAAACCCCCCAAAAATAAACCAATCCCCATTTCCATTTTAATCAAAAAAAAAAAAAAAAACAGATTTTCAAAAGTCTGAGTTATCATCACCGACTCAACCATTCACTCACTGACTTCACTTCATCACTTGCTGACTCGCTCCTAAACCAACAATGGACCGAGATTCATCGGACGAAGACGACGATCACCAAACCTTAATCCACCAAAACGACACCAAAAACCTCCCACACCGAATCCCCATCAGCCCACGCGCTTCCACCAGCCCAAGATCCAGTTTCCACATGGAAGAGCTCGAATCTCAAATACGACAACGTGTCAAGCTCACCTTCAACAAGCGATACCTCTTCGTCATTATCCTCCCTCTCCTCATCATCCCGATCTACTTCTCCACCGACATTCGCTCACTCTTCTCTTCCAACATCTCCTCCCTTAAATTCAATACGGTGGCGGATCGAATCGAGGAATCCCAACTCCAAGCTCTTTACTTGTTAAATCAACAGCAAAGTTCCCTTCTTTCTCTTTGGAATCACACTTTCGTTTACTCTAATAACAACATCACTGCCGTCCAATTTGACGACATCAAAGCCTCATTACTCAATCAGATCACCTTAAACAAACACATCCAGCAAATCCTCTTATCCCCTCACAAAACCGGAAACACCCTTCAAAACGCCACCGTTTTGGACCCCAACTTTGCCGGTTACAGTTTCGACCGTTGCAGGAAAGTTGACCAGAAATTCTCTGAAAGAAGAACAATCGAATGGAAACCCAAACCCAACAAATTCTTGTTCGCGATTTGCTTGTCCGGTCAAATGAGTAATCATTTGATTTGTTTGGAAAAACACATGTTTTTCGCGGCGATTTTGAATCGGGCATTGGTGATCCCGAGTTTGAGATTCGATTTTCAGTACAATCGAGTTCTGGATATCGAGCACATTAACGATTGTATTGGGAAAAAAGCTGTTATCCCATTCGAAGACTTTATGGAAATCAAGAAGAATCACGCTCACGTTGATAGATTCATTTGCTATTTTTCGAGCCCGCAGCCGTGTTACATGGACGAAGAGCATTTGAAGAAGTTAAAATCATTGGGAATTTCCATGGGGAAATTGGGGAATGCTTGGAAGAATGAGGATATTAAGAAGCCGAGTCAAAAAACGGTTAAAGATGTGGAAGAGAACTTTAGTTCGGATGACGATGTGATTGCAATTGGTGACATTTTTTTTGCGGATGTGGAGAGAGATTGGGTGTTACAACCGGGTGGTCCGATTTCGCATAAGTGTAAGACCTTGATCGAGCCGAGTAAGCTTATCTTGTTGACTGCTGAACGGTTTATTCAAACGTTTTTGGGGAGTAATTTTGTCGCTCTTCATTTTCGGCGACATGGATTCTTGAAGTTCTGGTATGTTATCGATTTTGTTGTGATTTCTTGCTTTCATCATTGGAACTTGTCACTTTTATTCCATAATGCTATGCTAGAGAATAAAAAGTAAAACTTTAAAATGATGACATTAGCCTTATTTTGCTTTGATTAAGTGTTGTTTGTTGTTTGTTTGAGTATCAGAATGTTAAAGTTATCTGCTTTAGTTGAGTATATGGCATGATTCAGACATTAGGATCCATAGGCTTTGATTTCAAAGTGTTGGGAATTTGCTAGAGCATGAAAGAGTGTGTCCGCAATTATTAAGAATTTCAAGTATTTGAGTCAAAGTGTTCTGCAATAATGTGGAATTGCATACATTTTAGATTCCCATCCTACAAGAAAGGGTTTATCTTAACAAATGGGTTGTGGCCATTGGCATTTTAGTTAAATGTTCTTTTGTGACATATTTGTGTCTCCTGCTTTGAGCGTGGGGTTTGTGTAAAATGCTACTAACACTACTGGCTTATTTCCCAGCAATGCTAAAAAGCCAAGCTGCTTTTACCCTATTCCTCAAGCTGCGGATTGCATCACTCGAATGGTTGAAAGGTCCAACTCTCCGGTTATATACCTTTCAACAGATGCAGCAGAAAGTGAAACTGGTTTGCTGCAATCGATGGTTGTGCTGAATGGGAAGACTATACCACTGGTTAAACGGCCTCCTCGTAATTCAGCTGAAAAATGGGATGCCTTGTTATACAGACATGGCCTTCAGGATGACCCTCAGGTGAGATTTTGATACTACTTTAGTATTAGTAGGAAGAACTGTATGAGTTGATTTTGTTTTTTGAACAATCCTATATTCCATTCAGATGTTAGGATGGTCTTCATGACCAGGGTTAGTCGTCTCACTGTCTAAGTCCTCAACCCTGATGAGTGTAGGATTTTCTGGATTTCAAGTCCAACCTGTTGAGAAATAAATTGCAGGTTGACTTACCCATTTGGCTCGTCAAGTAACGAGGTTTGTTTTCCCATTGGGGTATACCCTGTTTTCTTGATCACATTTTTCTAAAAAGAACATATGTGCTAGGTCTATGTGTTAGGTATTATGAATGACTTAGTCCTTATATGTATTAGATCAATGGCGTGAATTAACTTGTTGAGTTTTTATTATTGCAAATGTCCACCTGGATTTCCCTTGTCCTCTTTCTAGCTCTAGCGGCTGATAATCAAAGCTGTGGTTGGTTATGAAAAGCACAAATTTGTCCCTATTTTTTTTTGCCCCTGATGATCAAACTAAGCTTTTGGATTTTGTAAAGTATTTGGTTTACATTATTGTTCAGTACAGGTCAAAGGGTTGTGTGATCAGGCCGCACAACTGCATTTAACCTTCCATATCATTACTATTTTGCTTAGATCAATCTAAATTTGCTCTTAACTGTTGTATTGAAGGTGGAAGCTATGCTGGATAAGACCATCTGTGCTATGGCGAGTGTGTTCATCGGAGCCCCAGGTTCAACCTTCACGGAGGACATTTTACGGCTGCGAAAGGACTGGAGAACTGCATCTTTATGTGATGAGTACTTATGCCAGGGTGAAGAGCCAAATTTTATAGCAGGTGAGGAGTGACGGAAATGGCAGGCCGTAAAATCGTTATAACTTGAATTCTCGGTTGCTCCTTGCTCCTGAGACAGTCCATTGCAGAGGATGGTTGATTTACTGTTATTGTATTATAGTGTATTATAAGAGCATTTAATTGATTACTTATTGCTTTTGCAACATTCTTATACTGAGGTCGAGTGTGTTTTATGTGATTCATTTGTAAAAATTACTATCAGTAGTTAAGTAAACAATTTGTTGGACATTCTTTGAGACTAATGATCAAGGGCATTCTCGCCCTATTCTTCTTCATAAGGAAGAGACTTGAGTCTATCGTTAACCAAACTGTAATTTAACAGCACAACCATTTTCCTTATATGAACGAAACTTCAGGGAGTTAAAACAAGTGAATTTTGAATCATAGAGTCAGGCTAAATTTATTTATTTATTTTTTTTGGAATTCAGAATTTAGCTCAAATGGTTCGTTCATTTCTTTACCTGGTTCATTCAGCATTTGCAAACTCTTGTTTCCTAATTTCCCAAGCCTCTTTGTTAACAATTTTTTTTTCTTTGCCATATTTAACTTTTTGAGAAGCCAAAGCTATTCATGCTAACTACCTGGTAAAGAAAGTTCAAACAAACAAAATGACTCTGCTTGATTTATTTTTAATTGTTTAGTACTTCACTTTTTAGATATAGTTTCACCTGCGAAGCGAACCGGTCGCATAGTCCCTTACGCTATCAGTTTGAAGCGCGCCGCTTCACCTCTGTTTTCCTCATTTTGGTTTCCGATTTTCGTATTCTAAATAATCCCTGAAACTCAAAGTCTCTTGTTTGTTTTATAAAAGTTTCATCGAATCAAACTTGTTGACTGGGTCTTTAATTCTTTTTACAAACAATACCAAGTTTTTTTTTTTTCATTATAAGTCTTGAATTTTTTTGTAAAATGAGATCTTTTGTTTCTTGTTCTTAACTTTGGAATATACAGATCCCTTTGATTCCATTATTTTCCAATACCCATCTGAACAAAATACGAATCGATACCCAAAACAACACTCCCCACCATCACCATAAATTCTTCTCCTTTTTTGTTATTTTCGTTTCTTTTATATCGAAGCATATATTCTTGATAATAATATAAAGAAAAAAATTCATCATAATGAGGGCAAGATTGGTGGTGTTCCCAATTAAAGAGAAAACCTGGTGCTTTAGCAGATCCGTTGACCTGTCTGCATCAGAATCCACCGCTGCAACACTCCTTCCACTGTTAAAGAGCTTTGGAAGAAGATTTCGTCCAATTCTAAGCCCCTCAATGCCAATGCTGAGCTTCTTGTTGATTTCATTCCCAACAAGGTATACCTCTTTGTTTTATTCTCCTTTCTTTCTTTGTTATAAATGTTAAATAAATACCCCACATTTTAATCTTTGCATTTCATGTTTACATTAACTCCAATCTGTATTTGAAATGCTGTTTTTTTTTTTTTTTGGTTTAATGGTTTTTATTATAGATGAATAAGGCTTGGATGGGTTTGGAAAAGGCGCCTGAGGGCAGTTTCAAAAACAAGCTACATGGGTATTACTTGAAATTCAAATATGGTTAGTATAAATTATTGCATTGTTTGGCGTTTGTTTATGCTGATCTTTTCTTTTCGGTTAATGCATGTAGGTTAGGATTGCGGCTCTTAGCTCGAGTTAAACCATCAGAGATTTTGTTGAAATCTATAACCAAGGATGTTACTAATGTTCAGATTACATACCCCTCCAGGTTCTTTTTCTTCTCCTTTTCAATTGCCAAATATTCCGTTTTATATTTCAAATATAGTTATATTTCTTAATCTTGCTAGTGTTTATATTTAAATGTTCTCTATGATCTATATTTAAGTACAATTTTTTTTTCTATCCTATTTGTTATCTAGCTTTGATAACCAGTTCTGTGGTGAAGGGACAGCATTATGATGATATATAGTAAATTAGAATAGCTACCTACCATATTATTGTCATAACAGCTCATATATAGCAACATTGTGAATGGCATTTTTGTAAAACAGTCATTTACCCGTAATTTAGATGTTCGTGCATATTTTTTCTTTTACTTGTTTTCTAACATTTTTCTTTAAATAAATCTTTCTCAATATTTAATACTAGTCTTTGTAATGTTTGGGGAGTGATAAGTTTATGTTTGACTAAGTACGTTTGATTATTTGCAGTTGATTGCCTGTAATTGAGGAGACACTTGTACTTTTAGCAGTTTATCTGCTTTTTGGATAATAAATCCAATTAATTAATAGAAAAAAGAATGAACAATAGTAGGCATCCTTGTGTGATTCGTTCCTATGTTGAAATCCTGATGTATATGTCGCTTCTTCCAAGGGAAAATTAACATGGCAGGCACTTGAGAATAACAGATTTTAGTCCACTATTGTTTGAGATTTTGAATAATTGCGGGCAATTTAGCTTGATGAGCTAAAAGGACTTGTTGAATTATGTTGGTTCTGTGCATTTTGATATGCTTTTAGATTGCTGGTTTATTCCTGAAACTTCTAATATTTTTGCAGTTTAAATGCATGGCTTGTGCGGCGAAGATTACGACAGATAGCCTTTAGGTAATTGTTCTACCTCCTTTCTATTTGCTTCTTCGATATGCTAGAGAATAGAAGAAATTTGTCATGTTCAAACTGATTTACCATGATAAAAGAATAGGGCACAATGCTTGATTGTTTTCTAGGTTTCTATATTTTTCAGAATGAACATGACAAAAGCAGAAAAGGTCCTTTAACTTGGTTTATGACATTTCTGATGCATCTCTCCTTTGTCATTAAGAATACCCTTCTGCCTGATGTGTAAGGACATAGAGAGTCTCTATACAGTTTTTAACCCCAACAATCCAATGAAAAAATGGTTTCGGAGCTTTTTTGTTGTGTTTAATTATGTTTTTATGTTTCTGTATATTTTAAGGAGTTCCCTGCTGGTAATAAATATTATTACTTAAAACAAGTGTTCTCTGATTTTCAGGGGTACTGTTATACACAGGAAATACTTTTATGGTTCGGTTTCTTTGCTTCCACTGACTACTGCATTTACTGTATGTACTTTTTTTAGTTGTCACATCATTTACCATGTAACCTGTTTTGCCTGTTGAACTTTTTTCTTCTTTTTTTTTTCTCATTCTTACTTAATCTTTTTTCTCACACAGGTTCTACCTCTGCCTAACATCCCATTCTTTTGGGTCTTGTTTCGCACTTATTCACATTGGCGGGCTCTCCAGGTGGATTCAATGTTCCCAGAGTTGGATAGTTGGGGGTGGTTAATAGGAGACAGTAGTAGAGGGATCTGTTTACGTGGCTAATATTTGAACTGAACAATTTAGCATAACCTATTGTAAAAGCTGGTTCTTTATAGTAAAATTTAATTCTGTCTACTGGATGGGTCACTTGACATATCAGCTTTAGCTGCCCAGCTGTGATAAGAATACAAAGTCCCGAGCAGACATTCAGCTTGAGTCATATGCAACCATAACCTGTTTTAAACATGATTAGATATTCACAAGGTTACTTCCTTTCTCATATGGTCCCTTGTTACTGCTTTCTCTCATCACCTATGGATATGTCTATAAAGTGCATTGATTATCTTTTGCTTTCCCCTATTCTTATGTGCATTGGCATCCATGTTGTTTCTTGCTTGAGGAGCTGGAGAAGACCTGATTCTGTATCTAGCTGAACGAGGCAAAAGGAGTTAGATGGCCAGTAAAAGTAGTTAGTTTTTAAGCAATACTAAATTTGGAGTTTTATAATTTGCCTCCCTTGATTTTTGGTGTCATTCTTGACTGTAGTCACTATTTTTGAACCCTCTACTTTATATATGTATACCAACATCGACTCACGATGCTTATGTATGTTGATGTTGCAGGGAAGTGAGAAGCTCCTTCAGCTAATCTCAGATTACTCCCAAGCTCAAAATTCAGTTGTTTTAAATGGGAAGGGCAATAAATCTGAACACAATGATTCCAAGTGTCGAGCTAAGGATTTGCCAGGTGTTAAATGGGTAAGCTCATATATGCTATTCTGAAAATGGACACACAACTCGAGTATATGATGTTAGACAAGTATTCCATGTCAACCTTTGCTTTGTTTTAACCTTAAATTGAGTGTCATAGAATTTCATTAGGCTACATTTCAATCTTGATCGGAGTGAAGAAGATTTTGTAATTGGTCATCAGTCATGTCCTCTTTTTGGATTTGGTTTTCCTCTTTCATGTTCTTATCTTCTTGTTCTGTGTTTTTTTTTGTTTTTTTCAATTTCAAATCTCAACCAGTTTTACAAAGCCACAAGAATAATAAAAATGAACAAATGTTTTTCGTTTGCAAGACCTCTTAATTAAATTTCAAACATCGAAGGTCCTACACCTAGTAATATACACTAAAATCCCAAAAAATATTAGGAGATTAAGTTCAACTTGCTACCTTGTCCTTGCACTTATGTTTACTCAATTACCTACTGAGTATGTTCCATTGAGGTTTTTCATTTACTTATGATCAGTTTTTTAGTGGTAATGATATTTATAATTAATGAATGTTTAGCAAAGTTTGATACACGTTTTGGTGATAACTTGGCTACCATGTTCTTCATCTTTATGAAGATTAAGATTGCTAAGAACTCATTGTTTTATTGGCTTGTCAATCCCATGTGACATCTAAATACAACGAACACTAACTGATGACAATCGTTTGTGGTTAGCTTGTAACTTTTCTCAATGATGCATAGCTTTACGAACAATTTCAATGATGTAGCTTTTGTGGTTGGGGGGTATCAGGTCATTTTCCGCTGTTTCATGTTGTATTTTCCATTCTCAATTAAATGAACAGGTATTGGAGCCGTCGAAGGAATCGGAGGACCTTCTTCACCGGGGATATGAAAATGGTAGTCTTAGTGAACATGCTATCTCAGATACATGCATTACTTTTAGTTTGAACAAGAATGATGTTTTAAAGTGCAGAGATTTGGTGTAATTGACATTTCCATTTTTTTTTTATTGGTGTTAATATGGAATATAACAATATGATGAAAATAAATGCAATTACATTTTCTTTTTAGGAAAGTGACAATGGGAGATTCGGCTTAACTCTTTGAATAAAGAAATACATGCACCATCATTGAACGAGCAATGCCATGCTCTCTCTCTTTTATTCTTTTTTTTTTTGGTTGGGAAAGAAAAAATATTCAATTCGGTCTTTTTCATAAAGAAATATGTTTATCCCTGAGTATGATTTTATTTTTTGATTTACTTTACTCGAAGTAAGATATATTTGTT